ATGTGTTAGGTATGCCTAGTCATCCCCTTGCTCGACGAGCAATGTTAGCTGATATACGGTCAGGCTGGAAAAGAGCTAGCGGAGGTCAAACCAAAATATGGCTTCATCAGTCAATGAAATCCACAACAGTTAGTTTAAGCTAGCCGGGTAGGAAGGTGTAGACTTCCTGACTGGTTGGGGTCCTCGGGACGGTAAAAACTAATGGTTGGAGACAATCGGTGATATGGCTCAAAATCGTTCTCAATGGCGGAGATGCATCCACTCCTAATGACTTATGATTCCCAATGAAACTGTTTTGTTCTTTGTTATTACTATTACTTTGTCTCACACCTCTGTTTACTGTCTCTATTCTGCATTACTTCTACTTTCTTCTGTTGCTTTGTGCGCTACATGGGGTGTGGCGACTTGAACTACCACACATATGTACAAAGTTCTATGTCGAAAAACAGACAGACAGACTTTCTTGTCATGTGTATCTGATCTGTGTTTGTTAATTTTTGATTCACCTAAATACCAGGTTTCTAGAAATTCCCTGTGTTTCATCTATTTAAAATTTCTACATTACCTGAACCACACTGGTGTTCACAATCATCCACATGCATTGAAACAAAAGAATATATATCATGTCTTTTTACAGTTAGTTTGTGTTCTTGATATTCGTATTCGAAGGGGACGCCCACTTTGTCCAATGTAGTGTTTACATTTACTGTAAGATGTTGCTACAGGACTGGACTACGTCAACTCCTAGCGTAGTGATAGGGAGTGAAGAAGTGATAGAACATGTTGACCACTTCACCTATTATGGAAGTTGTATCAGCACCAACGGACTGATTGGCGACGAAATCTCACCACGGATCCAAAAGCTGCTTTCACTGACTTACACCATCTCTGACGTAGGCGTGACATCCAGCTATCAACCAAGGGACGTGTGTACTGCTCAGCAGTTCGCTCCGTCCTTGTCTATGGCTCTGAAACATGGCCAATACGAGTTGAAGACATGAAAACATTGACTGTTTTTGATCATAGTTGTCTACGATCTCTTTCTCACGTTAGGTGGTATAATAAGGTAAGTGCGTCGGTGGCACAGTGGTTAGGACTCTCGCCGACCATGCACATGGCCCGGGGTTCGAGCCCACGCCGACGCACACCTGATATCTATGGTCGGCCTGCGGAATTTGGACTACCGATATACACGCTGAGAATTCCATACTTGTACCAAAAATACACTGTGGAATCAAGCTGCAATCAAAAATAAAAAAAAATAAAAAATAAAATAAGTAATGTTGACGTTAGGCGTAGAGTGTTGGGCAAAGAGTGGAAATCAATTGACGAGGCTATAAAGTTACATAGACTGAAATGGCTAGGTGACGTGCTGCGTATGCCTAACCATCGCCTCCCCCGACGGGAATTACTAGCTGATATAGGTGCAGGTCGGAAAAGAGTAAGTGGTGGCCAAACAAAAACATGGCATCAATCCATGAAATCCTTGACAGTTAAATGCTTGTGGATAATTATGGACATTATTGTGGTTCAGGTAATGTAGAAATTTTAGATAGAGGAAACACCTAGAGTAACGACAGGGAATTTCCAGAAGCCTGGTACTTAGATGAATTAGCAAGTAACAAATAGATTACTGTAGACGAAACTTAACAGCTAATAAAAAGTAAATCCCATGACAAGAGAATTAGAATCCCAAGTCAATAAAAACAATCAATAGAGATGTACATTAACAACCAGTCATGACAGTAGTCGCCTGGAGACACGGTTATATCATTCCTGCAGGATTTAAATAAGTTTGTTTTATGCTAAAACCTTCTTTGAAGGGGGATATTGTCTAGAAGGACGACGAAAGCTTTGCACTTGAATCTCCAGCCAGCTCAGAGAATACAACTCATTCAAAAATGACCAGTGTCACTGAACATTCAATAACAACAATCATTGTCAGAAAATATAGTTATATCATTCATACTCTCTCTCTTCCCCTTTCATCACACATGCACTAACTAACCGTTTGTTTTCTTATTTAAATGTGGTTTTCCAGTAATGGTTTTGTAGTGAATTTTTGTTTGACTGCCTGGAGGATTGCATCATGGAACTGACATCATTTGGAGAACCATTGGAAAACCACCATGCACAGAGTACTGGATAGCCATCTGTTTCGTCAGCCTAGTTTGTGATTCTTCATCAGTACGCACCCACCGAGCTTCAAACCCGGTAGTTGTTAACGTACACACTGACACACATACAGAGAACATAAAAATTCAACCCCGAAAACCTCTTTTTCTCTACCCTCATCCTTGACATTATAATTCATCCATCTGAAGTGTATAATCAGTATGAATAAAACTCAATATGAACATGACTCATGGGAATTTATTACTATACATTAGTTGTCGCTCATAATCACTTTACTTTGTAATATATTGGTGTTCATGCGTCGGTGACACAGCCGTAGAGTGCTCACCAGCCATGCAGATGGTCCAGGGTTCGATCCCCGGCCTGCGCAGTGCTTTACTTCGTTCGCTAAACCAGTAATAGAACTGGCAAACAGGAAAGGCTGGGCATGAGACTAGCAACAGAGCCCCATAAAAATAAACACCATTGCTACCGAAACTTCAAGGATATGTCTTGAAGCCCTTTGTCCCACTGGGGGAACGTAAAGGAATAAAATGTTTATTATTACAATTTTACTTATTACCACATGCATACATATATTTTGGACTATAATCTATGAACTGTCTAATTGCAAATAACTTTTGGGATTCTGATCTAAGTGATTCGATGTTACTGTCTTTTTGAAAACCACTAATGTTATCAATAACAATTATTCTTTCATTATTATGGATGCATATAACTGTAGAACATGATGAAGAAGGCGTTATCGAAAAGAATAATCTTTGTTCAATAATCAATCTTTTGGTTACCGGATTTTATCATGAGCTGACATTGGTTAGAAAACCATTGGAAAACCGGCTGGGAGTACTGGACAGCTGTTTCGTCAGCATAGTTTGGGACTCTTCATCAGTTCGCACCCGACGGATTTCGAACCCAGGACCTTCTAGTTACAAGACTAGCGAGCTCCTAGATCATTAAGCAACTGGGACCCGATCCAATGGCCAGCCCATGACTTCTAACCTCTGCCAATTCATGATATAGCGAAACCGCTAGCCAATGTCTTCGGAGAGTATTTATCCTCACATTCGACCTGCTGTACTCTACTGGTCACGACTTCCCACTAGAACTCAGGTATCTAACTATACCTATTTGAATAAGGCCAGTTGCCAGTGAGCATCTCATTAATATTCAAGTATTCCCTTGTAGGGATTTGGTTATCAGCTCATGATGAAATCCCTGTAACCAATCAACCAAATCCCTACAAACCAATACCTGAAAATCAATCTTTTGCAAATTCAAATAAGTTTACATCATATTGAAGTTTTTCAAAAGAATGGATACTGAACAAAGAGTACTCTTTTTGGTAAATTCATCATAAGGCTCTACATTTATACATACATTACAGTGAATGAATGAATTCAATGAAGTACATTTGGCTGTGAAATTCACATGTGAAGAGGAATCCCAAGGCAGAATTACCTTCCTGGATGTCCTACTTACAAGAAAACCAGATGATAGCATAAAAAGAAATTTGCATATGAAAAGCACTTGAACAGGGCAATATACACATTTTCACAGCTTCGTTCCTATCAAGTACAAACGAAATTTAGTGAAGACCCTCAGCCACAGAGTTAGAGCTATATGCTCAGAAGAAGTAACTGAAAATGAATTAAGCATTGCATATAATACTTTGATCGAAAATGGTTATTCCGAAAAATTTGTCAAGAAACACATGACAAAGAAAACGGAAAAAGACTACTCACTATCTGTAAAAAGAAGCCTCTTTATTCGCGACCGCAATTCATGGGCGATATACCAAGCGAGATAATTGCGAAGAAATTAAGAAAATCAGTTCAAAGAACTTTTAATGCTGGCGAACTACACGTATTATTCTCTACATGACCGATGGTGCTACCTCGACTCAAAGATGAAGTACCTAGCCTAGCCACTTCAAATTGTATCTATCGATTCAGCTGCGCTTGTGGAGCCAGTTATATTGGCTGTTGCTCTAGGAACTTGATTTTTCGTGCTCACTCGAGAACATCTCCGACTCTGGCTAAGTAAAGGTGTAGTGAAAACTATTAACAGTTCGATATTGGACCATCTGGTGCAAACCGGCCACCAAGCCATCCAGCGTAGAAGAATCCTTCTCTATATTTTACCGGGTGTCATATAAATTGCCAAAAACATCGAAGCACCGCAGGCTCCAAAGAGCAGAGGCTATTGCGATTCGCCTCAAACAACCAGTGCTCTGTGTGCAAAAGAAGCAATTCCAGCCCCTACTATTGCCCTAGCCTTCAGTAGAAACTATAAACTCATGAATTTGTAATATTATCCTTCCTAATTCTTCCGACATTCAGTTTATTGTTATGTTGATGCGAGTCAGCTGTAATCTATCAATATTATTGATTTGATGTTATTTAAACATTAATTTCATTCATAACACTAATTCATTCATTCACTATAATGTATGTATAAATGAAGAGCCTGATGAAGGGGAAGTTTATCGAAAAGAGTACTCTTTGTTCAGTATCCATACTATTGAAGCTTTTGTTGAAGCGATACTGTCTAGAAGGGAGACAATGAAAACTACACAATTAAACCGCCAGCCACCCAGCTCACATGACACAGGTAAATCAAAAAGTTCACATCTCTAAAGCCTAATAATTTAGGAGACGTCACGTAAAAAGCTGCAGAAGGTGATGTAGATTCATTCAACTCTATCAAAGTTGAAATTCTCTTTGATCATAAAAATCATCAAAGACAAAAAGAAAGAGGTTACATTTATTGATTGATTATCATTATCATTTATGTTACACATTGTTTCCCTTCTAATTTCTCTTCTTTTTCTTTTTTTGTCTTTTTGTTGTCCGAATGATAATTAGCCTGAAAATCTATTGTACTTCAGTCCAGCTGATGACAGTAAGATAATGGTTAGCGATTTTGGCTTATCTAAAATAGAAAATGATGAGTCTAATATGGCTACAGCGTGTGGTACACCCGGTTATGTGGGTAAGTCAAAATTACCGTCGTTGTTTTTATTCCTATTATTAGCTTTTACGATCAGATCTGTTATTCGATAACATTTACTAATTACACGTTTCAAACAGTATTTCATCTTTCCACTTTTTTACTTTTCTTTGATAATTATGTTCGTTCTGCATTAAATTTCCTTACAGTCATACGAGTGTGCTGCCCAATCTAACATATTGGTTATACTGTTATGTTTTGTAATACGTTGAGACGGAAATAGGGACTGTGAGTTCTATTTGACTATCGCGGCTACCATTTTCACCCATCCCGGACTATTTAATAAATGAGTGCACACAACAATATTTCACGCAATAATGTATAATTCCAAAAAAAGCCACCAGAGATATGTCAGTCAGTTAGTCAGTCTGAAATTATAATCAATAAAATAGTGGGGGTTATTTTTACGTTGACCAATTCTGGTTGGTTTAACTTCCAGACTAGATATCGATCATCATATCACTATAAGAATTAATAGGCAGATTAATTAAGAATTAGTATTAGGTCGTCTAAAGTGACGATAATCATTAGTGTCTGTCAGGGGTATGATGCCTAATACCCCCATTTTCTATGAATAATTTCAACATAGATGCACCAACGGAACTGATCCTAACTGACTCCACCAATTTTAACTACGCAGATAATATGGTTCTGCTAGTTGGAGATGCCGACAGATGGATTCTTTGGGCAGAAATATTCGAATATTTGACGTGTGATTCTCTCCTGTCAATGGCTATGAGACGCGCCTATCGAAAGTGAAATCTGTCTGCATTCTATCTCCCGTGTTAAATGGTGTGATATGGTGATATACATTGCACTGATTAAGGCACTCTACTCGTACTCGTGCAGCCAGGTGAGGGCTTACGGTGAGTTTTCATCTGAAATGATGACGACTAGTGGTGTCCATCAAGGATGCCCATTATCCCCATTTCTATTCAACTTCATCATAGATGTACTAATGGACTTAAACCTAACTCACTTCAGTGACTCAGGGATTGACTTGCTACCAGGGAATAATCTCGCTGACTTAGAGTATGCAGACGATATAGTCCTTGTAGGCGAGGACGCTGATAAAATGCAGAGTCTTCTGAACACCTTGAACAGTGAGCGATCTACGAATGTTTGGCATGCGATTCGCTCGTGCTGCTGTCAAATGTAAGATTATGTTGCAGGACTGGACTACACCGACTCCTAGATTAGAAATAGGAAGTGAAGTGGTAGAGCACGTTGATCGCTCCACTTATTTGGGAAGTACCATCAGCCAACGCCAACGGGTTGATCTCTGGCGAAATCTCAGTACTGATATAGAGGGCTAGTTTTGCATATGCTAGTTTACGCCGTCTCTGGCGTAGACGTCACATCCGGCTATCGACCAAAGGGCGGGTGTACTGCTCAAAGCAGCAGTCCGCTCCGTCCTCCTTTATGGCTGTGAGACCTGACCATTGAGAGTGTAAGATATGAAAAGATTAGCTGTCTTTGATCATAGGTGCCTGCGTTTTATTCCCCGTGTGAGGTGGTTTAATAGGGTGAGCAATATTGAGGTTGGGCGTGGAGTGCTAGGTAAGTGGGAGGGGAAATCAATCGTCGAGGTTGTGTAGCTACACCGACTGAGATGGTTAGGACATGTGTTAGGTATGCCTAGTCATCGCCTTGCTCGACGAGCAATGTTAGCTGATATACGGTCAGGCTGGAAAAGAGCTAGTGGCGGTCAAACCAAAACATGGCTTCATCAGTCAATGAAATCCACAACAGTTAGTTTAAGCTGGCCACGTAGGAAAGTGTAGACTTCCTGATTGGTTGGGGTCCTCAGGACGGTAAGAACCAACGGTTGGAAACAATTGGTGATATGGCTCAAACTCATCGTTCTCAGTGGCGGAGATGCACTCACTCCTTGTGACTTATGATTCCCAATGAAACTGTTTTGTTCTTCGTTACCACTATTCCTTTGTCTTACACGTCTGTTTACTGTCTCTGTTCTGAATTTCTTCTACTTTCTTCTGTTGCTTTGTGTGCTACAAGGAGGGAGTGTGGCGACTCGAACTACCACACATATGTACAAAGTTCTATGTCGGAAACAGATAGTGATATGGTGAACTATATTCAGAATAGGCGTATAGTGCTAGGCAAAGAAGTCAATCGGTGACGTTGTGAAGTTACATCGATTGAAATGATTAGAACATGCGGTTCACATTTTCCGGCCACCGCCTTTTCCGACAACACGATGTTAGCTGATACTGGGTTCGGTTGAAAAAGAGTTAGGAATGGCTAAGTCAAAAATCTAGCATCAGTTCTTTGATAGTTGATTTGAGCCACATAAGAAGGTGTAGATTCCTTGGTTGGGATCCTTGGAATACTGAGAACCCATAGCCTGGGGACTACTGGAGATATGCCTGAAAATCGTTCCCCAGTTGCACAGATTCACTTACTCCTTGTGATTTCTCTTATCGATTAAATCCATATGTTTTTTCTAGTTACTATTCTTTCTCCCTAACATTTCTGCTAATTATAGTCGTTTTGAATTCCTTTTTTATATCTTTGTGTGCTTCTTGAAGTGTAACGAATAGATCTGTTACACTTCTGTGTAAAGTCCTCTGCTGGATTTTAGCCAGCCAGTCAGTCAGTCTTGTGGTCATACTCTTCATATATATATATATATATTATATGATACTTATACTTCTTAAATTTGTATCTGTTTATGGGATACCATTCGTCAGGTATGGTATTCCTGACAAGTTGGATCATTCATTCAAAGGTGACTGAATGAAAGGGAAATGTCCAACGAGGTATATGCGTTGACAAGGAAGATATATATATGTCGTAGTAAAGTGACGAAATGTATGTGTGAATTATTAGACTTAGTTTTCAAAACTCCTCAGTAGTTCAGTCATTGAAAAAGTTCGGTACAGCGTATGAGTTTGATTTGAACACCGGAGTTAACTAGAATGTAGGTTATTTCAGGCAGTTAATTTCAAATAGTATGAAAAGTTTAAATCAATTAGTCCCTTTTATAAATTTTGATAGCGTTATTAAAAGACGGAGATTATCTGAAAAATGTGATGTGATGTATTTGCGCTATACATTTCGAACAATCTGATCCCTCACACATTGACTTGTCAAATCGATATATATACGAAAAAGTCAAATTAAACAAAGTGACAAGAAAAACGGATTTAAGAATGATTAACACAACGTTTGGTTATCCAATCAAATAAGGATTACCAAGTTAGGTTAGGAGTAATAACAAACCGTTTTTGAATACACAAGGGGGGCTTAAGTTTATGAATAGCTATAGCCTCAGCGTATTTCAGTAAGCGCCCCTGACTATTTTCATAGATGACCTTAAAGGCTGAGCTAACATCAGTCTTGTGGTTGATCTCGATTAGGTGTTTAGCTATAGATGAAGTTGGTAGTCTGACACCTGCATCTATTGGCTTGTCACAAGTCATTTGTTTTTCTAGCCATTTTGAGATATGCTCTCCCATCCTCACATGCAAAGCGCGATTACCCCTCCCTGTGTATGTGTAACCACATACACACACACACACGGAAATTGGTAAATAGTGTGGGATGTGACATATTCACTTGTGCACTTTTGAGGTTTACAGTGGAGCATATTATTAGCTTTATGGACAATTACAAGCTGAGCTACATAACAGGTCCCACAGATGATCGAATTCAACCCTTGTCTCAAAATCCTACTGTTTATCTCCCCGTTATATGGCAATGTAATGAAAACATTTTACTTAGGGGCGGTATAGATCGATTGTAGATTCAAAGATCTGATTGACTTCTACACCTGTTTCAGAATTTTGAAGGATATCCGTTTTCAACTAGAGCCGTTTTCCATCGATATTTCGTTTTCTTTAACATCTATAACATCATCTTCTTCTTAAATAGACATTTCACCAAGCCTCTCTTATACTGTAATGGACAGAAACTCTATGGAAATTAAGGTACTGCCCTATCCAAGTGGGTTTTCTGTAGATTGATCATCTCTTCGACTCAGAAGTATGTTTAAAAATGCAAGCTAGTTGCGACTTTCTTCCTCGAATGTATCGAATATATCGATTTTATAAGTAAATGTGTGAGGCATCCGATTATTAGAAATGTATGACGCAAATACATCACATTTTTCAGATAATCTCCGTCTTCTAATAACGTTATCCAAGAATGAAAGAATGAATGGTATACTAGCTTGCCTTGTAAGCTGAAGGCCCTGCGTTCGCCTCCTTGCCCCCTTGGTGCGTAATGGCGATGATTCCCAAAAACTAGGATGAAACGGTTGTCCAATACTCCGTGGTTTTCAATGGTTCTCTAACTGATATCAATCAAACTCGTCAAACTCGTAAAAACCAAATCTAATCCTCACAAACCAACTCTTGAAAATCATTTAAATGTTTAATTGTCACTCAGATTTATTTATTGGCTTTCAAAAACTGAGTATTGAGTATTATTGAGTATAGCGAAGACTGACTGTAGCTCAGCTGGTTGGCTTTGATGTGGTTGTATTCTCTGAGCTGGCTGGTGGTTTAACTGCAGACCTCACATTGTCTTTGTGGACAGCATTTTCAGCGCGGAATTCAATATCAAGTCAATTTATATGAGGTCTACACTGGGGATGTTGTATAGAATGATAAGGAAAGTTTCTCAGTTAAACCAGTCAGTTCAGAGAAAAAGAAAACACCCACATCAAAATCGTCCAGCTGAGCTACAGGTCTTCGCTGTTATTTCCAGTGTTGAGTGTATTGTATTCACTATTGTCAGCGACCATAACCAGTGTAGCTCAATCTTGAAATCTTGAACTGTAGCATTGATTGGTGAGGGTCCGAATCTCAGACAGGTATGCATTACTGGTGTACACTGCAAAAGAAGAACGAAACTTAGGTCTTTGATTTGCTGTTGATCGCCTCTAGTCTGCCAAAAACAAAATTTTCCTTACGGATATTCCGACCTAATAGTGGTCATTAAAAAACCCATTAAAA